CATTTGGGGTAAAATTGGGAGTTCATAACCCACTTCAATCTAATGTATGAAATATGATATGTCAAGAGCTTTGTAATGTTGTGAACAACCAATAAAAAAAGAAAAAAAGTAAATAAAGATATTATGTCTAGCTATAATTTAAATATATATATATATATTTTTAAAAATAATTATATTGTCTTCATTACATAGTTCATTTTATAAATACATTTATTTTTGATAGAATGGGAAGTGCACATAAAACACATCTGCTACATTCAAAAGTAGGATGTTTGTGTCAACAAAAGCCATTTAGTGAGTTGTACGACTAGCCCTATTTTATGGAACACCATTCCTGCTTCAAAGAATGAATGACAGGGGAAATATTCCTTAGACTTCAATATTTGGCCAACATTCTAAAAAATGACCTCAACCTGTCCCTTTGAGATAATCCACAGACAGCAATATATTCAATGATAACATGTATGTTCTCAAGAGAAAATGAGAATCTGGGCAAACCTGTATCTACCACTATTAACCTGACAAACTCCCAAGTACTTACAACACTTTCTGGTGAAATCTGTGGTGATATCAACATATGACCTCTTGATTATTTCACTTAAATATGTTAATACTAGAAGGTCTATATAACTTGGTCCAACAATGCATGACTAAGAAATATACATCAGCACAACATCCATTCAATGTGAAGACACACCCACAGACTTTAATGAAATAGAATATGAACTATTCAATGATAATGTTTCAAGATCCTCATGGCAAAGAACCTTTAAGAAACTAACACTTGTGTCATTTTAGTGTAGTATCAGAGATGAATATTGGATATGCTATTAAAAACATTCCTCCTATATATTTGTGTGGGTGTATTTTTGTTTCAATCAAAATCACAGGTTAAATGCAGAAAATATGAATATCTAGCATTCTCTATTGACAAAAAGAACTTTCAAAATTCTAAAAAATAAAATGATCCATTTTTTATTAAATCTTTTCATTTTGGAAAACAGTTATTTCTCTTTGAAACTACTGTTTCTGTTAACATGCAATTAGTTATTAATATTAAGAAGGAATAGTATATCTCTTAAATGGAATTAATTTCTAAGGTGGCAAATATTGATAGGCGTAATCCATATAAACTTGGTTACCTCTGATTACAACTTTCTAGAGCATATAAAGATCCTGAAACCAAAAATTTGAGAACTGCTGATTCTACACCTTGAGGCAGGAGTCAAGGTGAGGGTGTGTGTGACCAAGGACCACAGTACAGAGTAGGGTTCTGGGCAAAGTCCCGGTCCCGGGCGTGGCGCTCGGGGTCTAGAGCGGTGCCTGGGGTGTGGACACCGAGCACTGGGGATTTTCTCTCTGGAGTTTCACTTCTTCTTCTCCCAACCCGTGTCAGGTCCTTCTGCCTGGACACTCCTGACGCGGCCGCAGGTCTCACTCCCATTGCGTGTCTTGCTCCTAGAGAAGCCAATCAGCGTCACCGCTGTTCAGGTTTTAAAGTCCCCACCCGCCGGCCGAGTCCCAGATCTCCACAGAGCTGCAGGATGCGGGTGATGGCCCCACGAACGCTGCTCCTGCTCCTGTCAGGGGCCCTGGCCCTGACCGGGACCTGGGCGGGTAAGTGCCGGGTGGGGAGGGAAATGGCTTCTTGCGCGGGAGGAGCGAGGGGACCGTCCTGTGAGCGCTCAGATCCGGAGAAGCTGTGTCCCCGTTGCCCCCGGCCCAGACCCTCCCCACTCTGGTGCGGTTCATCCCGACCCTCCACTCCCGCCCCTAAGTCCTGCCCTCCCGCGTCCCACCGACCCCTAAGCTTCTCTAGGCCCCGCTCCTCTCCTCCTGGCGTCGTCAACCTGGGACCCGGGTCGGGCGCCTGGAAGAGGATCCCGGGGTCTCAGCGGCTCCCTTCCCCAGGCTCCCACTCCATGAGGTATTTCTACACCTCCGTGTCCCGCCCCGGCGGGGAGCCCCGCTTCATCGTCGTGGGCTACGTGGACGACTCGCAGTTCGTGCGCTTCGACAGCGACGCCGAGAATCCCAGCGTGGAGCCCCGGGCGCCGTGGATAGAGCAGGAGGGGCCCGAGTACTGGGAGCGGGAGACACGGAACTTCAAGGGCACGGCACAGACTTTCCGAGTGAACCTCAACACGGCGCTGCGCTACTACAACCAGAGCGCGGGCGGTGAGTGACCCGGTCGGAGGTCGCGACCCCTCACGTCCCTC